GCAACGTTAATTTTATTTCCATATATTGATATGTACAGAAAAGGCAATGCTATTCTCTTCTCTCTTCAACTGGCACTAAGCAATGCAAATAAGGCCAGCTGAATTACTGATATGTAATCTTTGGGGCCACTCTAACAATCTCCTGTTTCCTGGCATAGTGTTTTCTGTAAAAGATCCCAGTGCAGCAGGATGGCAGAGCCAGTCAGCTCCAAGAATGTGGACTGGGTAGGAGCTTTGAAATAAAGAGGCTATGAGTCCCTGGGGAACAAAAGTTTACATACGTGAAACTGAAGCAACAGCCTCCTAAAGCATTTCAGATGCTACCTTAATTGAATTATGCAAATTGATCCTTCTGCATATCATTCTCCTGCATTGCAGAGATGCTTTTCTCTCCACCTGGCTGGCCAGCTCAACTGACCTTGGAGCACTTCCTTCTTCATGAGATAATAAATTCTGGGGGAGGCCTTGGATCAAGGTCTTTGCCCCTATATCCTCACTTGGATCAGGCTTAGGACCAGTTGGATGTCCTTAACTTTGAATATGTCTTTGTGTCTTTACTCTTACCGCGGGTTATATTGGAGGTGGTAGATTGGAATTAACTTGCTGGGATTCTAATAACGTCTCAATGGGATTACATATATAACCTTCCAAATTGAGAGGAAGATAAGAAAAGGAAATACAATGCTTGGATTACAATTCTCAGTTAAAATTTGAAATTAGATAGGTACATGTACAGTACAGTAATTGCCTTATTATTTAAAGAAGGGACTTTACACTCACTAATATGATTCTTGACTTATTTGAGTAAAATATTATATCTATTTTACATTTATATAGTCTCATAGACTGGGTTCTTATTTCCTGATTTCTTTGATGAGAAAAGCTGAGTGGTCATTGTTGCTGGGAAAAGCAGGGTTGAAGGGGAAAGGACATGAGGAATCCTCTGGCTGAGAGAAATATCCTGTACCTTGATAAGGGCATGAGTTACATATTTGTATGTACTTTTCCAAAGTCACCAAAATCTACACCCTTGTGCTGTGGGTGGGACTGAGTGATAGAGCACTTTCCTAGTGTGAGTGAGGCAAGGATTCAAATCCTAGCCACCAAAAAAGAAATCAAAATACAACCTGGACACTGAAGTTCTGAGCTTTGCATTCATCTGTAAATCTGCCTCAGTTTCAAAAAAGTGGTTAGAAAGAGGCTGAAGTATGTCTCAACTCTTCTATATTTCAAAAGCTTTTAAAAGATCAAAGACAAAATTAGTATAGAGTCACCTTACTTTAAGTTGAGAAGGCACTTACCACAAAACTTCCAAGTGAAGAAAAACTGAGATCATTCACATTAAAATCAGGAACAAAACACAGTGTCTGCTTTTACCAGTCTTGTTCAAAGTATTACTTGAAACTTTAGCCAGAGCAATTAGGGAAGAGAAAGAAATTAAAAAAGATTTGAATAGGAAAGGGAGGGGTAGAAAATATCCTTCTCTGCAGATGACATGATCCTTTGCTTAGAGAAGACTCTTAGAAGTGGTTAATAAATTCAGCAAGTGACTGGTTACAAAAATCAATACTGTTCCTACACAACAAGAATGAATTCACTGATGAAGGCATCAGGAAAATAGTTTCTAAAAAAAGAAATCAAATTGTTCACTATCTTGGAATTAACTTAACCAAGGAGTAAAAAACCTCTATAACAAAATCATACTGCTCTTTAAAAAGAAGTAAAAAATAACATTAGCAAATGGAAAGATATTCCTTCTTCTTGGATAGGCAGAATAAATAATGTGAAAGTGGCCATACTGCCATAAAAGGAATAGATTCAATATGATTCTTGCTAAAATGCTGACAGCTTTTTTCACATAGAACCAATAATACAGAAATGGAAGTAATAGACAATAGCCAAAACTATCGTCATGGTCAACAAGAGCAAAGCAGGAGGCATTACAATCCCAGACTTCAAATTATATTACAAGGTTATAGGAATAAAAACAGCATGTTCCTAGCTCAAAAACCAACATGCTGATCAATAGAATACATAGAGGGAACAGACACAGCACCAAGCACCTTCATCCATCAGATCTTTGAGAAACGTGCCAATGAAGTAGGTTGGAGAAAGAAATCCCTTTCAACTAACTGTGCTGGGAAAACTGGTTTTTCCCATGCAGAAGAATGAATCTTGATCCATTTCTCTAACCTACACTAAAATCAAATTAAAATTGACCAAAGACATATTGGAATGCGTAAAAACAGAAACACAAAATATACTGAAAGAAAAATTTGGTACTTGTCATAAAGAATAAATAGGTATAGGCAAAGACTTCCTGAATAGAAACCTAGTTGCCTAAGAAATAATATCAATAATCAATAAATGGGGTTACAACAAATTAAAAAGCTTGTATACAGCAAAGGAAACAGCCAGCAGATTGGAGAAACAACCTACAGAATGAGAAGAATTTTTATTGATACTTCTAAGACAGAGGAATAATATCTAGAAATACAAAAAACTAAAGAAGTTAAGTAATCAAAAATAAAAGACCCAATTTCAAATAGGCAAGCAGAAGAAAAAAAGATGTTTCCAAGGAGAGAGAGCGCGCAAAGGGAACGTGCTTAATGGATCCAGAGCCTCCCTTGGGGAAAATGAGAAAGGATTTGGGGCTGGATGGTGGAGATGGACAACAATAATTGAATGGCTTTGAATGGACACAGACATGGTCAAATGACAATTTTTCTCACATACATTTTACAGCGATGAAAAGGGAGGGGAAAGACTAGTAAATTTCCCATGGGCAATGCTGGAGGCCCACAGCTGGGAGTCTGAGGCTGCCCTCTCTGAGGTGAAGGGAGGACCACACTGCTGGGGCTGGGGGTGTGTGTCCCCAACCAGAGTGTTTCTCACCCAGGTCATCAGAAAGCCTCAAAGATCCTCGACAGGAAAACACTTTCTCACCATGGGGCTCCAGGTCCTTTAACTGTGCAGGCGACAGCACCTCAGAGCTGACTCCTGGCCTCTGTTTCCCCTTAAGAGCCAGAAGCACTCATAAAGACCTTTGGTGGCATCGTTCCCTATGAGGTGAAGAAGGACCAGGCAGAGTGGCTGCCCAGTGACATCAAGCTCTGACAACAGAGGCTTTCAAGCTGCTGGCACTGAGTGTGATGGCAATGGAGTCAGCTTTGGAGCCAGGGTCACAGGGCCTTAGGAGAGGGAGCAAAATGATCACATCCTGCCTCATATCTTAGCTCTTTTACTCCAGCCCTTCAAGACTTCTACTAATTAATAGCATCCTGCACTGGGTGGATGTCACTTAAGCCTACATTCCTTGGCACCACAGAGATAAACCTGTGAGAAGGGTGGGCAAGTGGAGGACAGAAGGGCGACCAGCAGACACCATCTGCACACTCTGCACTTAGCTGCCCTGGGTGCAGTATTTCTGCTTCCATATTAAAAACACTCCTGTCTGTTTTTAGGGACAGGGCCACTTGAGCCTTGTACACTTCCTTGATGGAAATATATACATAAAATTCATTTTACATCAACCAACGTGTGTATATGTGTATTATTTTTGAACCAAGAGCTGCTCTAAGTTACAGATTGGGGGGGGGTGTCTGCTACCACCTGTACAAAGCACCCCACAAAGAACAGCCAGGCCATGCATTCTTCTCTCAACTAGAAGCAGGTGGAGTACTGTGCTTGTCCCAAGGGGTTGGTGGGAACAGAGTGAGGGCACAAGTGTGGGGCAGGAGCTGAACTTCACACAGGGCTCATCTTACACAGGACGTGGTGAGGGAGGGTGCTGCCCTCATGCCAGCTCTTTAGAGAAGGCCTTGCCCACCACCCTGTCGTACAGTTTTTCTCTGACGCCACATAGTACATTAAGTTTGGACAATGGAGTTTTGGCCCCTGGGGGAGGCAGACAAGGCCTCCTATAGGAGGAGGACGAGGTGGGGCGAAGGGTACCTGGCACCCCTGCCTGCCTGAGAAGCAGTAGCCCTGCTCGATGTGCAGCCAGCCAGCAAGGCTGAGCATGAGATAGCGCCGAGTCTCCTTCTGCTCAGAAACAAGAAGGGAGTCGGGGGGTGGGGGCGGGTGGCTGGCTGACCGAGACCAGCCCCACGTTCAGATTCTTCCCCAGCTTGGGACATCTTCCCTGGCTTTGCTTCTCCTGCTTCTCTTTCCACTTCTGGCAGCAGCTACTCCAATGGGGAGACAGAGAAAGGGGCTCCATAACTCTGGATGCTTTGATTACAGATCAGGAGAAAGGATTCTGAGCAGTGCAGCCAGTATGCTAGCCAACTAGACCAGAGCTGCTCACCTGTCCATGCGTGCATGCATGAAGAGGGCGCACGCCCGCGCATGCGCGTGCGCACCCCCCCCCCAATCTCCTATGATCTGGCTGAAGTACAGATTCTCATTTAGTAGATCTGGCGCAGGGCTTGAGCCTGTGTATTCCTAACCAGTTTCCCGTGTCATTGCTTCCTGAGACCACACATTGAGCCCTACTCTGTTTCCTGAGGGGCCAAGTTCCTGAAGGAATCAGTAGTTGCACTGACATCACACGGATACTTGCTAGGGCTTTGTTATGCTGTCCAGTGGCTGGCAGATCCCTGGTACTTGGGTACTTAGCTCTTGTACCTCCACTTCTCATGTCAGGTATCCCCCTGGCTCCCTTCCTACTCAGGCACAGGTCCTCTGACTTCTTCAGTGCCTCATGATTTCCACTGATGGTCCCAATCTTTTTTCCTCTCAGTAACATAGAGGTGTACCGAAATCCCTACATTACAGGCCCATGGATGCAAATTGTGAACTCCAGGTGCTTTCTTTAACATGCCTGTCAACCTTTTGAGGGACTCCCCCTGGAAATCGGTGTGGATATCAGAACCCTCCTTCCCAAAGGGAACCTGTATTGTATCATATCACTTCTCTTGGCAGGAACTCCCAAATTCAGAGACTCCAAGATATCTCTAAAGATAATACTAAAGCAGTCATCCACAAGTGTGTGCCAGTAGCAACAGCATTTCTTTCTCTTTATTTTAAAGACGCCAGGAAAGGGAAGCATACAGCACTGTGGAAGTTCTGCTCAGTTGGTGGAAGTCAGCAGGGTGTCACCAGGGCAGCCTTCCCAGACGAAGCAGTATTAAGGCAGGGTGCAAAGCCAGGGAGGGAAATTAAAGGTCACAGGAATGGAGGGCTGTGGAGGTCACATTTTTCCTCCAGTGCATACCTGTGGCTTGAGACCAGTGTGGGGTTGCACGGAGGAAGGTGTTTGAGAGCCTTGTGCAGAACTGGCCTGGGCTGAGTGCATGGAAGGCTCACTGCCAGGAAGAATGGACCTGGAGGCTCAGGTGTCACACCTTGGGCTACCTTCTGCTCAGATAGCAGGGCTCAGAAGCTGGGGCTGAGAAGGGAAGAGGGCAGGGAGGAGACACACAGCCATGTCCTCAGCCATTCGCTGGGCTGTTGAGCCTGTTTACACCTGCACCTTAGTAAGCTTGATGTCGCCATCTACCTCCAGGCGATTGATGGTTGACAGTTCCTTCACGCGATAGGTGTATTCCAGCAGGTGCTGGCCGTCCACAACCACCTTGTAGCAGTGGGCTTCACATATGATCTCCATCTGGGTAAAGAGGCCTTGCCATTCACACTCCATGCAGGAAGTCCTCAGCCCTCACTGTGGGCTCGGCCCCTCCTTCCCCACCTCCTTCCTTTCCCCCAACCAGCCCCTGGCCTGCACTCAAGGACCTGCTCCTCTACACCCTGTGCTTTCCTCCCTGGACCTCAGCACAAGCATTTCCCAGCCTGCAATACTGCTTCCAGACTGCAGCTCTGCCCTGTGTGTAACTCACAGGCACCTAAGAACCCTACCCCCTCTGACAATACTTCTCTACCCCACCCAAACTCTCCCAGGGACCAATTGCCTCCTCAGGCCACCAGGGGCAGTCTTGCTGGCTTGTGCCATCTGTGTCTGCCATGTCCAAGTCTGGAGTCTGCTGCTCCAGCAGCAGCAGCAGCAGCAGCAGCAGCAACCCCCTGACTTTCTAGCCAGGGCCCTCTGCAGTAGGCAGTTGGGGTACAAATGGCAGCGGTCACACTTCATCACACTCACGTGCAGGGGACTGTCCTAGCATGCACAGAGACTACCTCTGCCCATTCCCAGAAATCTCTGAGATCATGAGATTTCCAGTCACATTTGTAGATGAGTAAGTGGAGTTTCAGTGACCCAACAGATGTCCCGGACTGAAGGACACTTCCCCAAGGTCGCACCGATACCAATGAATCAAAGACAGTGTTCCCTGCTCTGGCTCCAGTGGCTTCGCACTGTAGTAAAACCCAAGCTGCCTTCACAGCCCCGAGCTCTGCACCAGTCATTCCCAAACAAGACTGCAGGGGGCGCTCATCTAGGACATAACTTCTGCCTAAGGGAATGCAAGCCGACAGACTGGATGGCTGGAAGAAGGGAAGAGACATTATAGCAAAATCTTTTCTTTCTTTCTTTCTTTCTTTCTTTCTTTCTTTCTTTCTTTCTTTCTTTCTTTCTTTCTTTGTCTCTTCCTCTTCCTCTTCCTGGCTTGTTGGCTTTCCTTCCTTCCTATCTTTCTGTTCCTTTTTATTTCTTCTCTCTGTCTCTCTTTCCCTTTCTCACTCTTTCTCTCTTTCTGTCCTTTCTTCTCTCCATCCTTCCCTTCTTCCTTCCTTTCCTCCCTCTCTTTTCTTTCCTTCCTTCTCTCTCCTTCCTTCCTTCCTTCCTTCCTTCCTTCCTTCCTTCCTTCCTTCCTTCCTTCTTCCCCTCCTTCCTAGTGTATTATGGAATCAACCCAAGGCTTTCATACTAAGCTACATCCTTTTCCCTAGTTTTAAGTTTTTTATCCTTTAGAGAAAGTCTTCCTAAGTCACTAAATTGCCCAGGCTGAGCTCAAATTTGCGATCCTCCTGCTTTGCCCTGCTAGAGAGCTAGTGTTATAGGTGCACGTGCCACAGAGCCTGGCTCTTTTTCTTTTTGTTTTTGTGAGCTCTGTGTGGGACCTGAATGTTAGTCAGGATGATCAGGCCGCAGCCACACCTACACCTCTCTCCCTCACTCTGCATTTTACACTGCAGTGCTGGACAGGCCCCTCTCTCAGGTGGACACTGACTCTCCTGAAGTGGGGATTCCCAGTGCACTGGTCCTTATCTGTGCTGATTGCTCATACCTTTGTCTCCTTGCTCCTCCCCACCTAGATTGCAGCCCCCTGGGGTAGGACCTGCTCTCTCTACTTCCCGGCTGCATTTGTAAACATAGGTATGTCCTGCACAAAGTGAACATAATCAAAGAGCTGATAAATGACTGCTGAGCGACTATGCAAATCAATGACTATACCTCATTGTTCAGTCTGATTTGGCACAAATGGGTATGTGATCACTGGCAAGTAGGCTGGCCCTAATTTTGTTTGTTCGTCTATTAAGAGCAGATATTAATACTTTGCTTTGGAGACAATAATCATAACATAATAATTTGTTATACATCTCTCTTCCTTGGGGCACACCCTCCTATCACAAGTATCAACCCCTGCCCTGTTCAAGGTACCTCCAAGACCTCCTCCACCCTTTCTCCATTTGTATCCAGCAAGCTCTCCGGTCCCCAGGCTTCAGCGTCTTACCTTGAAGCTGTGCCCTGTGAGTAAGGGCATGTTGGTAGGCAGGCCTCGTTCCTCTTCCCCCCAGGAGCCTTTGATTTTACTGTTTCGGACCACAGTGTTTTCACTGAATCGAGGGTTCAGGTGAAAGGTGATGTTTTCTCCAGTGCACAAGTTGATATGGAACCTGGGGTGGATTGATCACAAGGAAACTCATCTCTTAGCTCTGGGCCCCATTATCTCCCCCTTATTTCAAGGAGCCAAAGAGTGATGGAGCCCTGTCTTACCTCTTAGCATTGGGCAGCACAGTGCCTGACACACGGATGACCTTGGCTACCTGCAGCCCACCTGGGATGGAGATGAAGTAAGGGATTGGCTGTTGGGAGGATGGGGACAGGTCAGCCAGTGACAGCAGAGAGGCACATTCCAGTAGGAAATCCTGTACTGATTGTCATGGACTTGGACATCAGGCAAGTCTAAGACCATGCTTGTGAGCAGAAGAAGCCAGGATATTTTAGCTTGGTTCACTAAACGCCAAGGAAAATCTTCTAGATATTCCAAAAGCAAGGGGCCTTCACTGAGACGGAAGGAACTTGGGCTGGACACTGAAGCATTCTGGGATGACAAGCGAACACTGTGTAATTAGATCACACTCAAGGGGCTATTCTAAAGTTGAAAGCTCCTTTCAAAATTACTCTAATTTTCTTGTTTCGTAGATTTCAGCTTGATAAAGAACCCTTTTTAATTATGTAAATCAGAGGGTCACCTCCAGCTACCTACCACGCTGCCATAGCAAATGAAATCCCCAGCCACCCACACACCACTTACATAAGTTTTGGGTGCTGGTTCAGGAGCTTGTGGAAAAGAGACTAAGAAATTTAAGGTGGGAGTGTTTTGTGGGCATACATACACACACACACACACACACACACAGTCATTCTGGAGCTGGTATTCCAATATGAATAAGGTTAAGAGAGTCCAGCCCTGGCTATCTTCTGATAACCTTGGATGTCATAGCAATCTTTCTAGGTCTTCCCGCTCTGTCCCTGGATTGCATCACCTGACTTTTGCAACTCCATGCTGCAAGGAAGGCACTGAAGCCACAGTGACACACTTGTCCCAGTGCCCCAGAGTCTGGCTGATGTGTGGACTCAATTAGGCAGCTGTTTGCCTTAACACAAATCAATACCTCAGAGGGGTCTGAATTTGTTCCCTGCTCCTGGTTGTGCCTTAAGACACATTTTTCTCCTCTTCCTAGCTGGAACTCCCCAAAGCAGAGCTCAACCTTGCAGCCAATGTACAGCATCTTCTTTCTGGTGGTCCAGTGATCACAAGGAAAACTCATCTCTTAGCTCTGGGCCCCATTATCTCCCCCTTATTTCAAGGAGCCAAAGAGTGATGGAGCCCTGTCAGGAAGGTCAAGGCAAGAGAGCCCTACGTGAGTCACCTCCACTCGGAGCCCAGCTGCCGGCCCCCTGTTGACCCCTACAGCCCCTTCTGCTTATCTTCTACCTGTGCCTGGGACCTGACTGGCAAAGACCGGGCAAGAGCTGGCCCGAGGCTACCACGTTCCTGCTTTCCCGCAGTGTTGCTCTCTCTGTGGGCACCTCCTCTTCTAGAGGTGAATCCAGCCATCTTCCTCAGCTTTCCACTGGGGGACACTGGCCAAGTGCCTCAACCTCAGGACATCAGTTTATCCACAGAGGAAGAGGGAACAAGAGCCCTAAAGTGTTTACCCACTGCCTCTGGCAGGCAGTAAAACTGTGGGAAAGGCTTCTCTTTGAATTCCACACTGCAGGCCCAGTCCTCATGGTTCCTTACTTCTCAGGTGGCCCCTATGAAGACAGCCGGTTGCAGCATCGCCTGATGAGCCCCAACTCACCCCGTAGGACACAGATACCTCTTTGGAGATCTCCTCCACTGACCCAAGACTGCCGGTACTGCCCAATACTCCCATAGCACTTACATTCAAACACTAGATCTGCTACATTATCCCATCTCTCCATTACCCTGAGAGGTGGGCTTGAGTATCAAGCCCACTATATAGATGCGATAACTGAGGTCTGCACAGGTAAATGTATCCTCTAGATAGTGAATGACTGAACCCCAGAGACCTCCAGGGAACATGGATTTAGTGCCATTCAGATGGATTGTTGTCCTCCCAGAAGCCTGTTCATGCACTCTCAGTACAAACTGTTGCCTTGAAAGATGCTACTAGACTTTCTGCCATGAACACCTGGATGGAGCAGTTACCCAGAGGGAGATCAGTAATTGGGGGTGAAATCCCTGACTCAGGTTAACATCCCTGTGTCCCGAGAGGCTGCCTTGGATGAAGCTGCCATGGAAAAGAAGCTGCATCCACGTGACCTCTTCTGGCATTTCCACCCTCCTCAGGTCTCTTTGGGATCCCCACCATCACTGCCTGCCACCCAGTCTTTCCTCAGTGACCCAGAGTGGCTCCTCCCTGGTGGTGCAGCCAGCTAAGGCAGGGCCAGCTTAGAACTTACCAGTTGTCTTCTGGAAGAAATCATCTTTCAGGACCTGTCAGCTGCTACCTTTCACACCAACTGAGGTGTCACTGCAGAGCTGGGCTTTTCAAGGAAACAGAGGGCAATGCACTTTGGCAGCTACTCAACAGGGAGGAGCCAAGAGAAAAATCAGCCAAGGGGGAGAGAGACAGAGCTAGGTGATGGGTGGAGGTCGGGTGTGGATCAGGGTGTGGGTCAGGGTATGGGTCAGGGGAGGGCAAGGGCCACTCCCAGGACAGTGGCCTTCTCTCCTTCCTCCTCTTGCCCACCACCCAGAGACAGCGTGCCATTTGGTCCATGAAGATGGAAAGTGGCACGGCAGTGAGTTTGTAGACTGCACTGCCCAGAATGTGTGCCGGGCTTTCTAAGCACGCGCCATCCGGGTGCAGGGAGCCACAGGCCGGGCAGGGGCAGTGGTGGGGAGGCTGCTTCTGCCCTTGAGCACACAGAGAAGTGGGACTCAGAGAGTGAGAGGGATGGACCCAAACTTGGACAGTGCATGCCTGGCCCTTTGAACTCTCTGAGAATACTCAGGATCTTGTGAAAGTATTTCTTCCTTGTAAGTTTGTATTCCTCATTCAAAAACATGATTAGGGAGAAGAGTTTTGAAAAATCTACCACATTGGAGACTTTTATTCTGTAGGAGTGGGTGCCCTGGCGCTTCTGGTTTCCCTGTATATATTTCTTTCCTCCTTTCATTATCCCTCTTTTCCATGGGTTTTAGGATGGAGAGAGAAGTTGTGCACACACATTCAAGTGACATAGAGTGAGATGGGAAAGAACATTAGAAAAAAGTTGCCTTTAATGAGCTTTAACTCACAACAGGGAAATTACTGGCTTTAAGAGAAAGAGTAGCATAGGCTGGTGGTGGAGGGGAGGGGTGACGATAATCTCACCTGAAGTCACTCAGGGCCCTGCTGCAGGAAACTGGGAAGGCCACATCACAAGCTAGGGAGGAGCTGCTGAGTGTTTCTATGGCCTCAAAGAGCACAAGCTGCTGACTTAGTTCAACCAGAATTTGCCAGATTTAAGGAGCAGAGACCTCAGCTGGAGCAGAAAAGGGAAAAGGAAGGAAAACACTTCGTAATACTCTGTAACATGATCAGCACCGGGGATTATATGTCATTTGCAAGAAATTGCCAATTGTTTGGAATTTGCAAAAAAATGGAGCATGCGTCGACTGAGGGTGGAATGTACAGTAATACATCTCAGAACCAGGGTTGATGGTGCTTGCTTGCAGTTCTGTAGATCCAGATGCTGAGGCAGGAGAATCTCAGAAACCCAGGAGTTTCGGACCAGCCTGAACAACATGGAGAGATCCTGTTTCTTGAAAACTAAAACAGGAGAAGAAGATACAGTTTAGAACTGTTTGGACCATATAGTGCACTATGTTCTCTTCTGTTCTGGCTATTTTACTGCTAGCTATAAACCCTAGAGAAAGGAAAACCTAGAGCTGTTCAGAACAGTTTTAGCATCATATTCCTAGCTGGGAAACAATCATGTGTAAATCTCAGGGGAAGGAGACAGAAGTGTGGCATCCACATGATGGAGCAGCCCTCAGCTGCAAAAGAAGCTGAGATGCGAACACAGATGAGAATCAAAATCAGGGAGGGAGCCAGCCACAGGCAAGCATGCGCTGTGACACCTCCATCTCCATCCAGGTCAAATACAGGTTTGATTTCTGGTTACCCCTGGTTCACTGCTTGGGAGGGGCACAAAGGAATCTTGTGAAGACTGCAAATATTCTGATCCTGGTAGGAATGGTGTCCCATGGGCTCTTACATGCATAAAACTCACACAGGAAGCCAGGATGTATGCATTCTACTCTGGGTAAACAATATATCAATAAAATTCTCTTAGAGAAAGAAATCTCCCAGATCCCAAGCTGGGTTCTGGAAATCAAGCAGTTTAATCTGGCCTTATGTCTTGGCAGAGGAGGACCCAGAGCTTCTGCTCCATACCCTACAGTAGGTTCCACAGGCAAAGCAGGAGGCTGGTGTGTCTATACTCAGCAAGGCAGTGGGAGGTATCTTGGAAGCACAGGGCCAGGCTGCAGAAAATTCTGATTGGCACAACATGGTGATGACCATGAGTTGCCATGAGTCACAGTCCACTCCGGAGGACAATGCTATGTTCAAGCCAGACCCTATGAATACTGCTTCTCAGAGTCGTTATCAAAATTTCAGACCCTTGTTTGCTGCTGTCTGTTCCCTGCGGCCCAGTCTGAGGTTCTTTTCAAAATGTGATCAGTCACCTCACTGCTAGGAGAAACACTACCATAAGAAAAAAATAGCACGGTGAAGTTTCACGAGCTTGTGCGCCGGCTACTTAAGAGGCGGAGACAAGAAAGTCTCAAATTTAAGATCAGCCTGGATAATTTAGAGATTGTCTTAAAACCAACAAAATAAAACAGGGCTGATGATGTAGCTCAGTGGTAAAGGGTCCCTCATTCAGACACCCCACAGGTCTTCCGACACATACAACAACTGCCAGCGAGTGACAGAAAGCCAATTGAGCTAAGGAAGCCAACATGTATCACCGATCTGTATCACCGATCAGAGGTTGTTCAGTGAAGTCCCCGAAGAATCTTCAAACTAGCATGGCCTCTCCAGGTTCAGCTGTCTCTCACTGCCTGGGACTGGAAGAGAGGAGCATGACAATGATCCAGACAGACCATCATCTGACAGCCAGAAAACCTTGGCATGGATCCCCACCCTAAGCCCATTTTGGTTTTCATTTTTGAAATGTGGCCTTGCCAAGCAGCTGAGTTGCCCAGGCTGTACTTGAGCTACGACATCCCTAAAAGTCAAGTTACCACCATGTGTCACAGTGAACAGTGAGCAGTGTCTCTTTGAAAAGTCCCTATTCCTGCTCTGGCCCTGACTTCTCACCATCTTCCCCTGGCAAGAGCTCACATGGGCTCTCACACTGGAACCAAGGACATGGAAAACAAGGGCTGATCAGGCTTTCTGGAGTCAATCCCAAAGCCCTCCGAGGCTGAGCCACCCATATCCCAGGAGTGTCCTGGGCAGAGCAGGATCTGGGTCATTTCCTCCTCCCAGCTGCAGAACTTCTACCTGACCAGCATGGGACACTGATGTGGAGGGAAGCGAAGCGGGAAGGAGACTTGGTGTGGAGGAGAAAGCAGACAGGACCTCAGTTAGAAGGCAAAGAAAGTCCACTGGTGGGAGCAGGGCCTGGGGCCACAGACCTTCCCACAGGTACCCTGCCCTGCCAAACACCCCTCATCAGGGCCTGGCCTTGGAAAGCAGCAGACATAATACAACGCTCTTAGGAGCTCCTCCAGGCATGGACTGGTTTCCCGTAACAGGGAGAGGCAGCTATCAGCAGGTGCCAGCACCAGAGGATCTCTCAGAACCCTAAAACCAAGGTGCCTGCTGAGGATAAGGTGGGATGTTTCTGCAAAGCAGGATCCAAAAGATACTGAGGCAGGAATCTCTCATGATTTTGAGTGTGAGGTATGCGTGGAAACTCTTGGCAGGCTCCTTGCTCACTTGCCCACCTAAGGGTGCTGGAGTCACTCGCCAGCTCAGCTGCTAAACCGGCTGGAACACACATCACGAGTGGCCTTTGCCTGTGGCCTCTCCTAGTGCAGTGGCTGCGTTCCAGCAGTGTTGTGAGTGGAGGGCGGTGGATTTTGTAACTTTTTTTTCAAACTCCTCTGGGAGTGTGCAAGGCCACTTCTGCCTCATGCAATCATAGAGGACCCATTGATGTTCACACCATAATTGGGAACAGCAAGAATTGAGAGGAGGGCAAGAGACCAGAAATGTTTGAGAAATACAGTGACAGCCAGAGTCACTCACTGTGGTCCTGGGCCTCTCCCAGGATCGAGTGAGCTGGCTATGTGCAGGTCATATTGCACAGGGAAAGACACTGAGTTGGGGCTAAGAGGGTGCGGAGAGAGGAAGCACATAGCAAGTCCTTGTTCTTAAGGAAAAGAACTGAGCAGTGCTGATTAGGTGCTGATTTTGTACCTTTCTGGATGCTTCCAGCTAATCCTCACCTATCTCTATAAATGAGGCACTGTTAGTTATGCCCATTCTACGTGAAGCACCTTACCCAAGGTCACACAGCAGGAACAGGTGAGTGCTGGGCCAGCACTCGGGCAATCCAGCTGTGGTCAGTGGCTGGATAGAATATCAACCACAGGTTTGGGGCCAGAGCTGGCTGGCCTTGAGAACACAGACTTCCACATGAGAGTCACGTGAGCAAGTTGTTGGAACTAGAGAAGGCCAGTCCTGCAGGTGTACAGTCCTGGTGTTCCTCCCTGTCCTGCAGCATGGAGAGCTCTGACAATGTTTCGCTTTCAGTGTTCTCAGCTAAACACTGAGACCCTGCCCTTGGCCCCACAGTGTGCTTCCCCAGCGTTTGCTGTGTATCAGTAAAGATGCCTCTTGTGCTGGGCCCTTGCTGTCTCTCCATAATAAATGTCAGGTCTCACCCAGTCCCAGCTCTGCTCTATGTGTCTTCTTTTTGTTTAATCTCCCATCTCCCCTTCAGGCTCCCACTGGCTGTGCTGTTCCTGGCACTCAGTCAGGGTGTCTGAGCTGCTAAACACTGCACCAGAGAGAGCAGACGCTGTCCTGGGAGCCAGCGTCATCAGTTGCAGAGAATGGGGACCAGTGTGACAGTGCTGTGTGCCTCCAGGTTGAGAAGGGCACTGCAGTGTCTCTTGGGCTCCTGTCTGAGCCTTGTTTCCTGGGCCTGGATAGCAGGATGCCCTGAGTATCACAGCTCTGCTTAGGGTTCTGGTCTCATGTTGCCATGCAGGGCTGATTCCAGAGAGTGGTGGGTGATGGGTGGAAGCTGCTCTGGGTGGGTGGGAGTTGCTCTGTGGAATTGGAATGGACACTTTTCTTTGGTGTGCAGGGACAGCTGAAGATGAACTGAGGTGGGCGGAGTAGTGTTTCCCTACCTGGGGCTGAGCTGGGCTCCAGATCTCCTCTCAGGAGTGTGTGGTGAAGGCTCCTCTAAATAAGGTACTAGCAATAGGGCTTTGGGCTTTAGGATGGTCGGAACCCTCTTGGAGCCATAACAAAGACTTCTTTAGGTTGTCC